TAGCTCAATATGGGCTACATATTGCACCTGAAAAGGTTCAAACGGGGAATTCTATTGAGTATTTGGGAGCAATAATTGGGTATGATAAACTAAAACCACAAAAAATCACCATAAGAACTCAAGATCTCCAAACTCTAAATGATTTTCAAAAACTGTTGGGAGATATTAATTGGATAAGGGGATATTTACATATTCCTAATGGTGTGCTCCAGCCTTTGTATGCTACCCTTAAGGGTGATCCAGATCTTGCTTCTCCTCGTAGCCTCACCAAAGAGGCTAGAGCGGCCCTTATAACAGTAGAAGAAGCTATACAACATGCTACTCTATGCAGGCTCCAAAGTGATAAATCTTTCCAGTTATGTGTGCTTGCCACTATGCGGCAGCCTACTGGAGTACTGTGGCAAGATGGGCCTTTACTATGGATCCATCCACATATATCCCCAGGAAAATCTTTAGAATACTATCCTGATGCTGTTGCAGCGTTAGCACTTAAAGGGATTCACCAAAGCATTCAATTTTTCGGACAATCACCTTCTTCTCTTATTATACCCTATACTAAGGCTCAACTTAATGTTTTGTGTGCTACTCTAGACAACTGGGCTATTCTATGTTGCTCGTTTCAAGGGGATATTGACAATCATTACCCTTCCCATCCATTACTCCATTTTGTTAAAGAACATCCCATCATTTTCCCTAAGGTAACTTCACCCAATCCAATTCCGGGGGCTGTTAATATATTCACTGATGGTTCCAAGTCTGGAATGGGAGCTTATGTAATTAATGATTCTCCCCCTGTTCAGCATCAATTTGCTCCTGGTAATCCACAATGGGTTGAACTGCAAATTGTTATTGAGGTTTTTAAACAGTGTTCTTTTCCTTTTAATCTTATCTCGGACTCCATTTATGTGGTACAAGCACTCAAAGTCCTGGAGGCCGTGGGAGCTATTAGTAATGCCCATAATGTATCTGCTTACTTTAATCAGCTTCAACAACTTATCTGTAGCCGCACTGCTCCCTTTTATCCAATGCACATACGGGCTCATACTTCTCTTCCTGGTCCGTTATCACAGGGTAATGCCTGTGCGGACTCAGCCACTAGAGGCCAGTTGATATGCTTGGCTTCCTCCTTAGAGGGGGCTAAATTATTTCACCAAAATTTCCATGTTAATGCTTTAACGCTGCGCAGGCGTTTTTCCATTTCAAGAGCGGATGCTCGTCAGATAGTATTACAATGTCCTCATTGTGTCACATTTCTTCATCCCCCTACTTATGGAGTGAACCCACGGGGATTAAAACCATTGGTTGTCTGGCAAATGGATGTGACGCACATACCTGACTTTGGTAACCTCAAGTATGTACATGTTTCTGTTGATACGTGCTCTGGAGTTATTCATGCCTCTGCTTTGTCGGGAGAGAAGGCACGTAATGTTATCACTCATTGCCTAGAAGCATGGGCAGCATGGGGTGCTCCTGCATCCCTTAAGACTGATAATGGACCTGCTTATACTGGCAGACAATTTACATCCTTTTGTTCTACCATGGGAGTGCAACTTACTCATGGTCTGCCTTACAATCCTCAAGGACAAGGCATTGTTGAGCGTGCTCATCGCACCTTAAAGCAAACTTTACAAAAACAAAAAGGGGGAATAGGAGCTGAACACACTCCTAAAGAACGCCTGTCCTTAGCTCTCTTTACCATTAATTTTTTAAATTTGGATATTCATGGTCGCTCTGTGGCTGATAGACATGTGTCCCCTCAGCCCTCTGTGATTGGTTATGTTAAGTGGAAGGATGTTCTTACAGGCCAATGGAACGGCCCCGACCCCGTGCTGACATGGGCCCGAGGATCTGTATGTGTTTTTCCCCAGGATCGCACGGAGCCGTTGTGGGTCCCTGAACGCCTGACAAGAAGAGTCTTGACATCAACCGACCAGCAACAAGAGATACCACAGCAACCCTGTGATGAGGATCTTCACTCTGCTACGTGCTCTGGTTCTGGTGCTGGTGCCGATGGCACAGACGACACCAATGCAGTGGTGGGCAGTGGCACGGGCTTGGCCAATGCCGATGCCGGTTCATGGTAGTTCTAGTGTCCTCCCCACTCTTTTCTCTACCTCATGTGAGATGTCTGCTCCCTGTGCCTCTCCTAGAGGGGACGTGGAAAGCATTTTTAATCGATCTCAGGTTAATCTCACAGGAGTTTTTTGTTTCAGCCTTGGAAACACTAATTGCATTAGCCTTAAGACCAAAAATTTGACTAACTGGGAGGACCCATTGCGGTCCAATCAGGTCTCAGGGAGTATTATTAATGCTGTACTGAGCCAAGTAGTTTCGGGGAAGCAATCAGGTTCAGGGACCCCTGTAAATAGCTCTGCTTTAAACATAACTACCTTGGCTATGATCTCCAAGGTACTAATCCCAGTACCTCCTTCTTTTAATAGTACTTACAATGCCACTCATTTCAAGGCCTCTCCTTACTGTACCCCTAATCTTGGTTTCCCCCCAACATTTACGCCTTGTCAGGATCATTCTTGGGAGAAACTTCAAGTTGCTAAGGGTTTCTCCTTTTCCCCCTCTCTTAAGAGGTATGTTTATAATTTTAACCATAGTGCCAACTCCTCTACAGGAGTAGGTTGGTCCTGGTTTCAATGGCTGATTTCCAATGAGAAGGGGGCTTCAGCTGATATTTCTGCATTGGCTCAATTGCTAGGAGCCAAAACCTGGCTGGCTAATGTTTCTGGCACTGTTAGGAAAAGTGAACGAGGTAATAGGCTCACATCTGTTTCGCTCAACTCTTTTCTATATAATGCCACATTGCCTCCTGCAATGGTCTGCGTCCAATCCCCGTTCTTGCTCCTTTTGGCTAATAATACCTCATCGGGGATGCTGGATTGTTCTAGTGTTACCTGTCTCTTATCTGAGTGTTGGAATGGTTCTTGGACTGTAGCAGTGGTTATGAAAATTCCAACCTTTGTCCCAATCCCAGTCACTGCGGACCCAGATAAATTCCCCATTGTTGAACTACTTAGAGTCCGTAGAGATTTTGGAATTACGGCAGCTATAGTGACAGCTGTGGCAGTGTCTGCTGCTGCAGCAGTTACAGCTGGAGTAGCCATGGCCAGTCAAGTACAAACTGCTGCCACTATTAATCAAGTTGTTCAACAAACTTCCACTATACTTGAATCCCAAAATTCAATTAATCAACATATTTTGTCAGGGATTTTAGCTGCCAACCAAAGGATAGATTTACTTCAAGCTCAGGTAGAAGAATTGGCTGACTTAGTGCTTTTGGGTTGTGTTGATCAACGTGCACATTTATGCATAACCTCTGTCAGATTTAATGATTCCAGAAATGCCTCCCGCATCATTGGCGAATATTTGGCCGGAAATTGGTCCATGGCAGCGGAAGACATGATCCAGTCTCAACTAACTCAGATTGCTGTTTTGAATAGTACCCGTGTTGAACCAGTGACTTTGGGTCAATTCACCGATTGGATATCTTCTGCTTTTTCCTTCTTCAAAGAGTGGGTGGGAGTAGGCATTTTTGGTGCAATGTGTTGCTTCAGTGTTATACTTTGTTTGTGGTTTCTCTGTCGCCTTAAAACTCGCCATGCACAAGAAAAGGCTATGATCATACAAGCTCTTGCAGCTTTAGAAAATGGCAACTCACCTCAAGTCTGGCTTGCGCATCTTAAACAGTAAACCTTTGTCATGGTCGTTGCACCCCAAGTTATTATAACATTGCACTGGGATCGACATGACTTTCCTTGTTATTCTCTTAGTGTTGGAAAGCCCTTGCACTCTGCCGGTCTTGCTGCCATTGCACGCAGATGGGTTTCCACACTAGTGCTTTACTATCGCTTTAAAGTCCGTGCCTTTCTTTCAGGGTGCTGTCAACTTGTTTGTCATTAATACAGCCACAGTTCAGCCTCAGCTATCCCCCTTCGTCCACCATCGTCACGATACAGGATGCGAGGCAAGGCACTGCACTTGAGTGATCCTTGACGTGGACCTCAAGGAGAGCATGTCCTATTGCATGCGGGTTAGACGCGTCCACGCCCCGCCCCACGAAAAAAGGCGTCGGCTGATATGGCCTCGGATCTGGGGAAGGGCCCTCCTTAGGACTGAGCCATACTATGCAGCCACTTCTGCACAGTGGGATAGGACCTCTACTCTCGCCTGTATTGTTTTAATAAAACAGAAAGGGGGAACTGTGGTGAGCCGCTTCTGCCGTTTCTGCAGACTATGGTCGCCATTACGAGATGGCGCTGGCTCCGCTGTGGTATGTGACAAACAACTCCTTATCTGAGAGAGTTGGCACATGATTTTTCACCACCCTGTGAGAAAGTTCCACGCGGCAGCTTTGCATTGGGGCTTGGGATGCTTTATTAAGGCTGGGAGGGCATCCGGGAAGAGAAGAAGAAGAAAGAATAATAAATATCAAGGGACCTGAATAAACTGCTGAGAGAAGATTCCGGAGTTGCGTCTTCCTTGCGGGCAAGGGGTCGCGACAACCTAAGACAGAGCCAAGGTGGCTTTTTATAGGAAACCCATCTTGAGATAACCCTCTAGACCACCAACCCACTCATCTAGTAATTATGTAACCACATGAATGGATTAATCCTTAAAATTAATACCACTTAAGGGGAATTGTGTTACAACATGGATTTCTAAGGGACAAACTAAATTGAAGCCACAGCAGCTGGGAAATCCAAGATCAAGGTGAGGCAGACATGGTGTCCAGAGACGTTTTTCTTGTCAGGCAGTTGGCCCACTTTTCAGTAAGGCTGCACATGGCAGAGGGAGGGAAAGAGCTCTGGTCGCTCTTCCTCTTCTTCTTCTTCTAAGGACACTAACCCAACATTGGGGGTCCTATTCTCACCACCTTGTCTCAACCTAGTGACTGCTTTACACTACCACCTCTGAAGAGCACACATTGGTGGTTAGAGAATCAACATGTGCATTTGGGGTGGGACGGGACACAAACATTGAGACCATGATATTGTGCAATCTCGTCTTTAATAGAATTTGTGCTAGCAGCATTTCCCTCAGATAAAGGCTTCCTGTGCTTTGATTCAGCTTTACTAAACCAAGTGCTGATGATTTCAAAAGAGAGTGAAATCTGTAAACCAGCTTGCTCAAATCCCCCAGAGTTAACTGGTGCCACCAACATAACGCCTTAGATTTATTAATTGTTCCGCAGTGCTCTGGCCACTGCCCTGAAGACGAGTCCTGGAGCACCAAATAAAATCGTAGTAACAAACGTGATGATTCCATTAATCACCTGCAATAGAGGAGAAGAGGGGGGAGTGGGTCACTCTCCACATCAGGAGTCTGAGCAGAGATACTTGGGCAAGGAACCTGTAGCTCAGGAAAGACCCATGATCCCTGTCCTTGTCCTGTTCATTACATCCCAGAGGGAAATACTATGGGCAGGGAGGTGAGGGGTGTTTCAAAGGGAGATGGGGAGCCGGTGGGGGAGAGGGGGGCGAGTGGGTGTCCCTAGAGTCAGGGAGGTAAAAAATGATGAAGGGTGATCTAGTAAATGCAATGAGGCCAGCTAAGTGTTCTCCCTGGCAACTATTGAAGTTCAGATCATACTTTTCAGTGGAGATGGCAGGAGGCCCTGGTTTTCTGATGAGTACATTCCAAAGGCATCCCTCTCAGACTTGGAGAAAAACCCTTCTGAGTTTTAAGGCCACTATTTGTGTCTATGTGAGCTTCCTATCTTCCACTCCGTGTCTCATAGAGTCAGAGGAAGGATTCCTAGTTAAAGCTTGTTTCAACAAATGTACTAAGACAGGGAGGTCTTGCAACTATCATCTGCTTGGAAAAAATAACACATGCCAGGCAAGTCTTGACCTTAAGTGTGACCCTGTCACCAATTAATGCCCATCTGCTTGGAAAAAAATAGAACATTCCCACACAGGGATTTGAAAGGGGATTGGGAACTTTCTCAGACAGAGCTTCATGTTCCAGGGGCCATGCTAGAGGTTAGTGGTCTATCAGAGCAAAGTGTGGGCAGAGTCACTAGGGGCCCAGAGTTCTGCAGGGCCCACAGCACACTGTGTACAGAGAGAGAAGGAGAAAGAGCTGGAGAGAGGCAGAGGGGGAGTTTCCTATGGAGACAAGGCAGAAGACAAGGAAGGAGGGAGAGGGAGAGGAGGTGAGTCATTGAGATACCTACAGAAGAGGTTCCCAAAGGGGATCCCCAGGCCAGGGAGAAACTAAACAGCACAGCCGTCACTGAGTGCCCCAGTCTTGGTTGAATTGAACCCTTAGAAGCACAGCAGAGAGCCAACCACCCCTAAAACACCTGTGGGTGGGACGTGATCCTTGAGGCTTTTGTACAACCTATGGAAGTGGGTTTAGATGCACAATGAGGCAGTCCCCCCCCACCCAGAACACCACCCCTGGGTCCAGACACATGTCTACCCCCCCAGCTGATAGGATGGGGACCGACTCAGCAAGGTCACAGCAAAAAGCAGGTCTCACTCACCCCAGTGCCCACAGCTGACTGGCAGTTCCCAGTTATCAGCCTGGGGCCCTCACGTCCAGGAGGCACGCATTTTTCCTGCCCATCTCCCCTCTTCACCACAGCCCTTCTCCTACCTTACCAAAGAAGAGCCAGTGCCTCCCCTGTCCTGAACCTGTGGGGCACAGGCCAAGGTACAAACATCCCTGGACACCAAGGAGGGGGGATTCAAGAACACATACCCTCAACAGAGAGGGCTCAGTGGGGAATGTGGCACCTGCTGTACTCCCAGTGGCTAGGGAGGCTGAGGCTGGAAGATCACAAGTTCAAGTTCAGCCCCAGCAACTTAGTGAGGTCCTAAAGTAACTTAGAGAGACCTCGTCTTTAAGTTAAATATAAAATGGGCTGGGAATGTGGCTCAGAGTTAAAGTACCCTTGGTCCAATCTCTGGTACCAAAAAAAAAAAAAAGAAAAAAGAAAAACCCAAAGCCCAAACACAGAAAACAACCCAACCCAACAGAGAGGCCTCCTGAAACAATGTGAGCTGGTGTCATGGTGACGGGCATTAACACCTTCAATGTGAGCTGAAAAACTGTCAGGTTTTCACTAGAAAAATTGTCTGATTTGATTGACAGTTTTAAAATAACACTGGGCTTAGCTATTTGAATTATGTAGAAGACATTTTTCACACACTCAATAAGCTAGTTGTGTAACTCCAAGGTTGTCAAGAAAATTTGGAATGAAATCATGGATGCAAATTGCAAAAAAATACATCATCTGTAAATATTTTACATTTATGATTTTTGAACTGTTTGTTACCTAAAAATGTATAATGTAATATTGCATAGTTTTGGTTTTTTTTTTGTGTGTGTGGTGTTGGCAATAGAACTCGGGATCTCATGCACACCAGCAAGTGCCCTGCCACTGAGCTACAGCCCCAGTACTTCAAGTTCTTTTAAACCAAGACTTGTTACCCAATGTCCCATTGGTCAAATATTGCCTGTCACCTATTTCTACAAAAGTAAATAAATGTAAACAATCAAGCTCTATTGGAACACAGCCTTGCCTGTTGGTTTACAGAGTCTATGGCTGCTCTCAGGCTACAGAGTGACCCTGACAGAGTAAAGAGAGGGACCAGCTGGCCCACAAAAGCTGAAGTGTTTCCTGTTGACCTTGTGCAGGAAAAATGGGCCCAACATGACCAGGGTCCCCTTTTCCTGGACCCCACTGCTCTCTCTGCCAGCTTCCCTGACCCCTGATCAAGGGCAATGTCCAAGTCAGGTTGCACTGCCAGCCCTCAGCAGGTGCCCAGCCCCTGTCAGCTGGGGAATGGTCTGGTACCAGGGAAGGGGACACAGGCTGAGGGCACACCTGGTCACTGAGGGAAACTCCGTAGCGCAGCTTGTTCACAAAGTGCTCACAGTTGTTGTTGGTCAATGAATAGGGCACGTATGTCCCCACCATTTTCTCTGCCTGCTGGACAATTTTGTCAGGTGGCAGTGGCTCATACTTGTTATCGTTCTTGTTATTGACCCGGTACTTGTCTCCTCCAGCCACCACCGACAGCAGCTCCTTCTTCACTATGGCTCTGTTACCCAGGACGGAACCCAAGACATTCACGCTAGGTCCTGACACTTCACCTGTGGAAACAGTGGACCCAGGCCAGGGCAAGGCTATAGAGGCCTCACTGCAAATTGGGACAGAAGTGATTTTCAGAAAGTTTTGTCCTCCTCCTCTGGATAGCGTCCTCCCCCAGCGCTCATTCCCAGCTGGAGCAGTGCTGTAAGCAGCCCTCCACCCAGGGGTGGCTCAGGATGGCTGCAATATTTTCACTGCCTCCCTCTACCTGGGAAATCTTAATGTCCTGGGGCCTGACTTGGGCATGGACATTTACTCTATTATTAATTCCTTTCATATGGGAGATTCTGGAGTCCAGTGTTGAAGGAATCAGAACTAAAATGAGAAAGTGAAAATGATACCTTCAAATATGCTCTTAAGAAACTCACTGGAACCATAGTTGAAATCAGTGGAAACTCTGTGAGTACATGGAGTGTTTGTGTAGTAGCAGACCAATACTCAGGGCATGTCTGCAGAAGGAATCAATCATATTTAATTGGGGGTATAAATTGTGGAAATTTCTATCAAATTGGTAAGAATGTGTTATACTTTTACCCTGGTTTAAAGCCCAGTCATTCAACCTAGCATCGTGCCAATGCCAAGGTGCCAAGAATAATCATGGTATTCATAAAAAAAACACTTGGTGGTAGGTAATGGGATCTACCTGCAAACACGCACACTTTCTCTCTGTCTCTTTTACATTGGATTATTCATTATTTGTGGTAAAAAGATACACAAAGATTTCCAATCTAAGGGAGCTGTATGCTGCAGCCTTGGATATCTGCATAAAATATTCCTCCATAATTGAATTTTTCAAGAATTTCCAAAGCTGATCATGAAGAGAAACTGGGTATTATTTTTTTTTTAGCATGCTCTGAGGGTGAGCACTGCTGTGAGCTGAGCTCTTTGTCATTTTCTGTTCAAAGTC